CATTTTGTTACCAAATTACATGTACTCCCGACTTTCCCGCGTTAGATGCTCTGGGTGTCTGGACACACTACCGGGACACACACACAAACGTAACATTATAATTGAGTAGAAAAAGACAGAATGGCGCCTCGAAGACTCAGTCAGGTATACATTGTATCAAAAATGTTTAGGCTACAGTTATAATGTTTTGATTAGTAGTGATAAAATCAGTGGCAATTTCATTAAGCACTTGCTCTGATGTATCAACATTTACCACAATCTGATCGTCCAATGTTTAGTGAAAACGATTGTAACCAGTATTTATCAGATGAAGAAGCATATCCCTCACTCATCGTCAAAACTGCTCTACTTTTGCAGCAAGTACAACTGGTTCTTTTATGTGCAATGAGGATAGGAAAACTAAACAGTGCCAACAACTTTCAGTTATATGAAAGATGGTAATTAAAACACAATAAATATACCACATTCTATCATGTACTGTAAACTACAATGTACTTTATTTCCACTTAGAATTCATTTTCGCTGAAGGGATGCTTCAGTGAAAACAAAATGCAGTGAATATAGATCTTTTTCTATATTTTACATTTAACTCACTACAAATCAGTGAAAATATATTCCATACAAAACACCAAAAGAGAATGCAAATTACCTAGCCTAACATACAATGTCAACAGAAGAGGTGCAAGTTTACCTGTCCATAAGAGCATCTTCCAAGAGAGGCGACACGGCATAGATGTAATCTTTTCCCATTTCACCAATATACTCAAATAAGAATGATAATGATTTGAGGACACCATTCTGTACATTTAACTCTGGTACACGGTATTCATTCATGAGAGCTGGCAGTACTGTAAACGGTGAACAGGTCTCAGCTACTATGGCTATAGCTACAGTTGTACACACACGATTCTGACGTTCTTGGACTTTCAAGTTGTTTAACAGAGTAGCCAGTACATCATGTGGACTATAGTAGATGAACAGATAAAAACAAATTACTTGTGAAACTTGTGTTAAATTACCAATACTGTAGAAGGGTTAATTATTCACTGGGTTTTAATTTGGCTTATTTCGCTGACTGGAAAATGCGCTAAATTAAAACCCAGTGAATATGTAAAATTTAGCATAGAACACATTATCTAAATGATAAAATCGTGAATTTAAAACCCTCTGAATATGCCTGAAATGCTAAATCAGCGAAAAATTAATCATTTATATATGAACAATGACTACAAAATAGATGTCAATGTGCATGATCCTGAAGTGAAGTCTGAATTGCAGCAGGTCCATTACAACAGAATGTTGATCACATTCACTGATATCAACACCACTGGCCTTTAAGTTTTAATAAATTTGAAATGGCGCAACAAAGCCTGTATATAAATGGATATAATCCAACAACTTACCCGATTGCTTTTGCAATGTAACCAAACGTGTTGACAGTCGCACGCCTGATAGCTTTTTTGTGGGCTTTTAATAATTCCAGCAGTTCAAAACATATCCTCATCCACTCACGAGCTGATACATACTCTGACCCCCTGTCTGCTATCCTGCCGACCAAGTCTATACAGTTCTCTTGTACTTTTTCATGCCTGAAAAAGGTAGTGTGAGAAAATAATGTAACTAATGTATATATCAAACTTCTTCTTAGTGTTAAAATTCCTCAAAAATAGTGTAAACTGCCGAAATGCACTAAAATACACTCACTATGCACATGAATTAGGATGCACAACATTAACATGCACTGACAATGTACAGGGACTGTTGATTGAAAACATAACACATCATAATGAAAACAAACTTACCTGTTTTTTAGAATTGGTGTGAGACGTGGCAGTAAATCTTTGATAGGAGGCGTCATTTTATGCATACCAATAACATTGACAATACCTTTGAGTGCACCCAGTATACTACCAAGAACCTCTGGGTATTCTTCTCCTAGGTACTCGTACAACACCACACCTAAATGACCCATTAACTTTTCCTGGTGAAAACAACAAATAAATAGTAAAGCAGTGTACAATAGGCTGATTTGGCATTTTTGGACCCAGTATGTTGCTTAATTATCAAAGAGGTGCACTACACAAAAGGTTACTGAATGAATCTCATGTGAAACAAAAGATTACATCACCCACACAAGCATTATTATTGAATTGTAACATTTCCTACCTCTTGACATGTCCTCATAACCACAGCAATCCTGGATATGAGATCTGCTGCTTGTTGCCTAACTTTAGCTGCTTTGTTGTTGAGACGCCATAGAATAGTACCACAGATCTGTGGCAAATACGGCTTGACTCGTTTTCCCAGAGCATTCACAACTGTGCCAAAACCATTCAGCATAACCACATCCTGCAGATTCATCGAGTAGAAATATTTATTAATTTCTTAGAATAGAATAGTACCACATAAATAGAATAGTACCACAGATCTGTGGCAAATACGGCTTGACTCGTTTTCCCAGAGCATTCACAACTGTGCCAAAACCATTCAGCATAACCACATCCTGCAGATTCATCGAGTAGAAATATTTATTAATTTCTTCATCTTAATACAATTTAAATCACTATGACCTCAATATGAATGCACAAATAACCCATAAAATGCACAACTTTATTTCATTTGCATACATTGAACCTGAATGTGTCTTAAAATAAACTCTCCTTGCTGAAATGTAGGCAGGGAGAAGAGCATGTGAGCATTACTAAAGTATAAACTTTGATTCAAGGTGATGCAGGGATAGATTTCTATTTACCTCAGTGGTTTGTTCCTGGAATGCATATAAAATACCATCAATGAGCTGCTCTTCTAGTCTGGAGTCTATGTCAGCAGCGCCTAAATTACCCATAATCTTTTCAATCGTTTCCATCACCATTTTACGATATTGTTCGGCTTCATCTTTCAAGTCATCCACTATCCTACTAGTGATTTCAGCTGCTCCTACTTTGTTCGCCAACTCTACAGTTGTATCAACAAGCTGTGTAAAAAACAGTAAATCAACTTTAAAGTTTATTTATTTTTGACAAACTCCTTATTTAGTACAGGGGAAACAAGTTGATGGAAAGGTCGATTGCTCTCATAATTTTTCCCAAATCCCTGAAATTTGGGGAAAATGCACTGCCATGAGTGTTTTTTATTAAATATTTTTTGTGCCAGGAGATCATTCAAGATACTGATGAAAGTCAAGTGTACGGTACATATACAAGTTAAAAACCCTATTCCACGTATGAAACAATATAACAGGGCTCATCTCTCTATCAAATAATAATTTAATTCACTATCCGAAAGTTTAACAGGCACAGTCAACTTAAGTAACTGCTGTTCAAGGTTTCCCAACTGTCGCATCAGTAAGTGAATGAATCTTTGTCAGTGGCCTTCCCAGTGAGTCAGTCAACCCCAGGCAAGACATACTCACGGGATATACACCCAGTCTTACCTGTCTATAGTTTCTCCTCTCTAATGCCATTCTATGTTGCCAGAAATGTTTGAAGAATGTCTTACCTGTCTATAGTTTCTCCTCTCTAATGCCATTCTATGTTGCCAGAAATGTTTGAAGAATGGTGGCAGGATCTCATCTTTGATGTATTGAGATTCCACACCATCTGTGGCACAACACTGTTTTACCACTTTCAACACAATTTTCTTCATTTCTTCATCAGGAGATGGAAACTCACGAATCAAGATCAACATCACTTCCCTTGTATAATAATTAGCATATTCTGCATCCATCAATGGGATTAGATAACCAATGGCTTTCAAGAAAGCAGCCAATACCTAGTACAGAAGGACACACAGCTGGCAATTAACAATATTGACAGAGAGTACAAGTGAACACAATTTCATAAAACATTGGAGTCATGAATGCTTGCTAAAAATACCAACCTAGAATGCTAAAAAATAGTGGTATACAGTGAGGAATAGCCCTTTACAAACAATACACAACTTTTTAGTGTCTTTTTCACAACAGAAACTTAGAGAACCTGACTAAAACCTAGTTTTTGAATGATGATGTGTTTGTTATTCTTTATTTTGCAGGTACAGTATTTGTGCATCATCTACTTACCTTTCCTCTGTGTTGTCGAATACCCTTCCACAATGGTTTGAGAACACTATCAAAGGATTCAATACCATAGGGTGTAGCAGCTTCTGCCAAAGCCGCCAAAGCCAAAGCTGTGATTGTACGTACTTTCTGCTGTTCATCAACAAGACCTAGGGCAGAGTAACATGCATAAATTAGGATTTGACAAGTTCTAAACATGTAACAGTAAACAGCATTATGTATGATTAAACTGTTTTTGGAATATTAATGGTATAATTGATGAACAGAAGTAGCTTCATAGTCTTTGAGGTTGTATTATCTGTGCTTCAGACAAGAACATATTCACTTTGAATTTGAGATGTGATAATGCCTGGCAATCTGAACTTCTAACTATGGTGAAGTGAATGTTCTAAGATACAGGGAAATACAAAGCTGGAACAGTACCAACAAACACAGAGCTAAATAAAAGTTAAATGGAGAAGAGACAGAGGACATATCATCAAAATAGCATTGGTTTGTGAATGTACCGTATTTGTCTTCAATTAGGCGCCACTTTGTTACACTTTCATGTCATGGTGGCGCTTATTTGTGGTTAAATTTGAGCAACTTTGTTTCAAATGGCGCTTATTTCAAGCACTTCAAGTTCTAGTACCGGTAATTGTGTTACAAGCCATTGTTTTTGCTCCATTCTGGTGATAGATTATTGACAATATTTTACATTACAGTCTGACGCTTAGTCACTGTAGCCTTTATTTTAAATACTGAGTAAATGACCCGTTTTCAGACAGTTTAGAAAGTTATACAAAAAATATCATTCTTTAGAAAACATTCACAGTTTGCCGTACAATCAACAGAAAAATAAAACAAACACAAATTCAACGCTTAGTAGTCAATGATCACGGTAGCAAAATCCGGTCATGCTGCATTCCACGGTTACGATTATTACTCAGTAGTAGTTATAATAACGTACAAAAAATAAAATGCAAGTAAAATTCAACTTAATTTCATCGTAAGCGAATGATTCTGGTCGCATGTAAACGCTCGGCGCGATTCGATGTCTGCCATGCTTCCTGTCTAGGACTTGACCTGGAACGCGTTTTTTGACCTG